GTTTCAAGCATTTCATGAGTAGGATCTCATGAAATCCCCAATAATGAGTATCCAGTTTTACAGGTGAAAACTAATACTAAACAGAGAAGTTAAAAAATGTCCCCAGGGTCACACAGCCAATTAACGGTAGCATCCAGATTCAAACTGTTTTAGACTAACTCTGGAGGCTATACTTTACGTCCATTAAGCTATGCTTCTCCTTATACCAGTGATAGCTATACAAGAGCGATGTCAGGGCACCAAACTTAATATTTAAAACCAAAAAAGGAAACTTGGTGAAAGATCTTCAAGGGAATAACCAAGGAAGTGTTTCAAATTCCAACACAAGATCAGATATTGAAACGCAAGTAGAGATTATGGGTGATTAAGGATAAACCAAGACAGGTAGTCAACACTAAATAAATATAAATAGATAAACAAATAAGTCAAGTAAACCAGTGTTGAATCTGTAAAGTCCTCAGGCACTTAGTTGTGTATTATAGGAAGAATTGACTGATATATAACCCGTGGCACATATATGAGGTTACCCTGGGAACAGGTGTGGTCAAAGCGTCCTCAGCCTTGGTTGGGTTAAAGGTCTAAATCAGGCAGCTAGACAAAAAATGCCAATATTTCATGAATATGACAAAATATTTTGTAAAACAAGCTCTCTTAAAAGGATATAGTTATTTACCTTATATCATTTAATATAATTTGATATTTCATATTAAATATTCCTCAAATTTAAGCATAGTTTTTACCCTAGACCAGGAGTATATCTACCATCCTCTCTGTCCTGATAGTGATATCCAGATAAAGGCAACAATAATAACAAAAGTATTTTAGTTCAATTTATAAGAGGAATCATGGAAACCTCACATAAGTAATATTCAAAGTAGAGAAGAAAGCATTTTTAAACTTACCATTTTTAAAAAAAATCAGATGTTATTATAAAATAAATGGGCATTATAGAAAGAAATAGTCAAATAACAGTATAATCTAATTTCAACAAAACCAAACACCTTATAAGACACTGCTGGTATGCCATTGTGCTGAGATGCTGTTCCACATAGACTCATTCATTCTAAACCTACAGCAAAACTTAATTTGGGGGGATAAGATGCCCAACTATTAATTTTATTTGAATTTTTAAGGGAAAACAAAAATTACATTGTGGTGATGGTTGTATAACTGGAAATATATTGAAATTCATTGAGTTGTATTCATAACGAGTGCATTTTATACTATGTAAACTGTATTTCAAAGACCTGGTTTAAAAATGTGCCCTCTATTGGGAAGCTGGAGTTAGGCTGCTAACCAGGAAGCTGACTGGCTTTTGTGGGCCGGTTGGAAAATCAGAGTGTGAGTCTAGGAGACGGGTGAGGCCAGAGCAGCAGTTAAAGATAACATGGGATTCAACCTGGCCAGTAATGATCAAATAATCTTTGCCTCACTCTTTTCCCCTTAAAAAAAGGGGCATAAATAAGCATATTAATTAGGGGGAAAAAAGTTCTGCCACGCACAACTGTTTTTGCTACGCATACTCCTTAAAAAAAAAATAAAGCCTTAAAATAACTGTTAGTCACCAGAATATCTGGCACATACATTAAAGACCATTCAGTGAAATTAATGAAATGACAAATGTACTTGAGGTTGCAAAAAAAAAAGTAAACTAAATACATTTCATGTGGGGGAAAGAAAACCAAAATACACGTCATACCACAAAGCATATGTGAAAATGTTCTATGTTCTATAGGTCACTTTATCTCTATCACTATTGGAACTATTCCTAGGATATCTTATATTAGTATACAAATCAATAAATATATCATACACACCTATATACTATCCTTGATGATAACAGATCTCCACATTTCACAGAACAAGAGAAAAATGCAACAGCACATGTTAGGATGGATGTCTGTTTTCTGATTCTGAGATGCACACTAATTTAAAGGGTAAAAATGCTCCCATTATCTTCTTCCTAGGCATTTCTTTTCTAAAGAAATAATGCTCTTATTTAACAGGTCATATCTGTGGAGTGGTTGTGGATTTTACCAGAATCTCTATTCTTCCTTTTAAAAACAATGAAATGGTGAAATTAAGAGTGCAACAAGGAAACGAAACTTGATTAAAACCCAAGTCTTATTTTCTATTGGAAACATATTGTAATTCAATTAAAATACTGATCCATAAATTTTTTTGAAATATTGATTTTTGACATCTCTAATGGCCACCAAATTTTTTAAATTTTTTACTATGGAAAAATTTAAATATTAAACAAAATTGAATGGCAAAACAAATCTCCATATGCCATCATCTATTGATCCAACAATTTACCACATTTGCATTACCTATCTTTCTATGTATATATTTATATCTATATACTTTAAAGAAAATTCTAGACCCCATGTCTTCCACTCCTACATACTTAATAAACATCTCTAGAAAAGTATAAAATTGGTGTTTATCAAATTTTTTTTAGTTTGAAACAATACTGAATAGAAATGTAAATCAAAATGTATCTATTTTCCCGAACAAAGAATCCTAAAGTTTATATGGAACAACAAAAAATCCTGAATAGCCAAAGCAATCCTGAGAAAAAAGAGTAAAGCTGGAGGCATCACAATCCCTGACTTCAAAATATACTACAAAGCTATAGTAATCAAAACAGCATGGTACTGGCAGAAAAACAGACACACAGACCAATGGAACAGAATTGAAAACCCAGAAATAAAACCACATATCTATGGACAGTTAATCTTCGATAAAGGAGTGAAGAACATACAATGGAGAAAGGAAAAGTCTATTCAATAAATGTGTTGTGAAAACTGGACAGCCACATGCAAAAGAATAAAAGTAGACCATCATTTTATACCATACACAAAAATTAACTCAAAATGGATTAAAGACTTGAAGGTAAGACCTGAAACCATAAAACTCCTAGAAGAAAACCTAGGCAGTATGTTCTTTGACATCGGTCTTAGCAGTATTTTTTTGAATACCATGTCTCCTCAAGCAAAGGAAACCAAAGAAAAAATAAACAAATGGGGCTACATCAGTCTAAAAAGCTTCTACAAGGCAAAGGAAGCCACCAACAAAATGAAAAGATAATCCACCAACTTGGAGAAAATATTTACAAATCATATATCCAATAAGAGGTTAATTTCCAAAATACATGAAGAACTCACACAACTCAACAACAATAAAACAAACAACCCAAACAAAAAATGGGCAGAGGATCTCAACAGACATTTTTCCAAAGAAGATTTACAGATGGCCAATAGGCACATGAAAAGATGTTTAACATCACTAATTATTAGGAAAATGCAAATCAAAACTACAATGAGATATCACCTCACACCCATCAGAATGTCTATTATTAAAAGGACAAGAAATAACAAGTGTTGGAGAGGATGTGGAGAAAGGGGAACCCGAATACACTGCTGGTGGGAATGCAAACTGGTGCAGCCCCTATGGAAAACAGTATGGCGATTTCTCAAAAAGTTAAAAATGGAGATACCATATAACCCAGCTACTCCACTTCTGGGTATTTATCAAAAGAAAAGATTTTCGAAAAGATATATGCAGCCTTATGTTCATTGCAGCACTATTCACAATAGCCAAGACTTGGAAGCAACCTAAGCGCCCATCAATGGATGAACGGTTAAAGAAGATGTGGTGTATATATATATATACAATGGAATACTAGTCAGTCATAAAAAAGATGAAATTGTGCTATATGCAACAAAATGGATGGACCTTAAGGGTATTTTTCTAAGTGAAATAAGTCAGACAGAGTAAGACAAATACTGTATGATTTCACTCATATGTGGAAGATAAACACATAGATATGGAGAACAGATTGGTAGTCATCAAAGGGGAAGTGAATAGGGGGCACATGAAAGGGGTAAAGGGACACATATATATGATGAAAGATGGAAACCAGACTTTTGGTAATGAACACGATGCAGTCTATACAGAAGCCAAAATCTAATGATACACACCTGAAATTTACACAATGTTATAGACCAATGTGACCTCAAAAAATAATAAAAAATAAATAAAATTGAATCATGAAATATTGAATCAAATATGTAAAAACTGAATATGCATGTAGACAAGGATGAGAATGTAATGTCAATTATAAAATTCATTTTTCGTGTTAAATGCTAATATTTTAATAATACTTTTATAATAAAGGAATATTGAAAAATAAAAAATGTATCTATTTCCAACTATGCTAGGAAGATGCATTAATTTTAAGATTTTGAATGTGCAGAAGACAAAGTATTAAAAATTCTAAATAGTTCACTTCTATTCAAATATATTTGACTCTATTTTTTCCTATTAGAAATGACAATCCAAAAGTATAGGTAAAACTATGAACATTTTAATATTAAAAAGAAAGCTATGGCACTCTTGCTTTTAGTCACATTTGCTGCTCTATTACATTTAAATATTTCTGTTTAATAACTTAAGTCCATAATTCTTCTGAATGCTGAAATCAGAAACATAATCTGCCACTTAGCTATGTAAATCCTTCACCCCAGAAGTGAGTTAGGCCAGCCTCAAACATAGTAAAATATTTAAAATTCTAGAGTTTAATTTATAATGTTTAATGCAATCTGACTGTATTGGCAGTAAAGTGAATATATTAGAACATCATTTCAACATGTGATCACTTCCATTGATACAGGCCAATATTATCCATCAGTGTAAAATTTAACTAAAGTTAGTGACACTGATAAAACAGCGTTATAAGACTTTCACATAAAAATACAAGGAATTTAAATTTATATAAGCATTAATACAGCTACTACTCTAATATGCTCATGAATCAACACACTAAATTAGTATTTTTAGCTCCAAGAACCAGATTTTGACTTTAATTTTACCTTATACATAATTTTTTACATATGTACTTTAGGACTACTGAGGATTTAAGAATTTTGTTTTAAATACAATTTTCCATCTTTTTATCCTTTTTACCTTTCTATACATCTCTGATTAAACCATACCTTCAAAGTAACCATCTCTTCTGGGCTGTGACTTCTTTGATAATTTTGTATCAGAAACTTTCTTTTCACTGTTTTTGAACAATGCTAGGCGCATGGTGGGATCTAGACAAAAAGAGCAAGATAAGACAAAAGTTCAGCTCTGGTTCATTCCTTCTCCGAAATGGCTATAGATTTTCTTATGATGCTAAAAAGTAATACCCATTCTATAAGGTTCTGTGAAATTGATGCTTACGTTATTTTAAAAAGCTTCATAATGTAAAAAGGTAACCAACCATTCATACATTCTTGGTTATCTAGTTAAACACATAGCTAATATCTAACACAAAGAACAGAAATATTCACAATGTGAAAATTTTACACTTAAATTTTCCAGTTATGGCATTATCTTTTTGTTTGGGGAGTTGCTTTATTGATTATTTTAGCTCCTTTCTTAAATTCCTGGTATTTCTGCTGAAATAGAGTAAAATTTTCATAAATGCATAATAGGTAAAAGCTATTATTACAGGAAAAACCACATGCCCTACTTTTCTCTCCTGTAAACTGTGAGGAGCTGGTGTGTAGGAGACGGAAGAAAGACAACTAATGGGATGAAGAACAGATAGAAAAGGATTATTTCACTAACTTTACAGATAAACCAATGGTTTCTCTTTCGCCTTAATGTCTTTTGTGTACATAACAAAGAAGATGTATAGATTCTATATTTTTTTTATAGTCAAGAGCATTCTAAATCTATTAATTTTAGAAAATAAGTAGGATGATTGCAAACGTAGGGTCCTATAATCTTTTACTGGTAATGAATGGTTCTATAAAATGTGAAATTGGGGATTTGCTGCAGTTGAATTAAGACGAAAGGTTTTCACTTGGTGAAGAACTGTAAAAAGAAAATGTGAAAAGAAAATGGTGAAGTTAAGTAACAGGGAGTAGAATAAAGAGTGGAAAGTTATGCATTTAAAGTAGGTTAACATAAAACCACAATGTAGAGCGGTATGCATTTTCTTAGTATTTTACATCATCTTGACAAAAGAAAGTTTAAAAATCTTTGATTAACATCTAGTGCAACAGAATTGAATATGCTAAATGGAAAAATAAGATTTTATATATCATAAAGCCCAAATTACATATTTCAATAAAATGCTAAGGTAGCGTGTTTTTAAGCATGTGAATTAGATACGCAGAACAGTATTTGCAGAGTTATTCTCAAACATCAGTAACCTAAATTTCCATTAGTCTTCCAGTAATAATTTATCCCTATTAAGCATGATTTACATGTTTCATAGAGATTATATTACTCAAGATTAGGAAAAATATTAGTCAGTATTTGGCCACATCTCATAATTATATGTGACCTAAGGTATTATAAGAATTGGGTGCTTCTATATGAATTCAATATGAATTATATCAATAAGAATGATTTTTAAAACTGTATATGTATTTAATAGAATAAGTATTAGATATCATCTGAGTCATTTATGAGAAAACCATAATGATATGTCAAAAGGAGACTTAGTCAGGGAAGATAGCTCACCACGGCCTTATATTCTGTATGATACCTTATAACCTGCTGATCTTTCTACACATTCTCCTGCATTTCTTGCTTTTCAATTTGATCTATGTATTTCCTGAGCAAAGACATTATAATTTGACAGACCTGGGGTAGATCCAAGCTCCAACTTTTACTAATGTTATAACTCTGGACAAACTGCTCTCAGCCTCTGCCTCCTCCTCTGTTCAATAGAAACAGTATTGACTTTGAAGCATTACTTTGAGAATTATCGAGATAATGTGTGTAAAGCATCAAGACTTGTGCCTGCATACATGCAGGTGCTCAACAAATGGCAGGTAGGAAACATATAATTACAACACAAACAACAATAATATTTCCAACTTATGATATTCTTGGAAAAGATCTAAAATCCTTCAAAGAATAAGGTGGATATATAGGAAATTGATGGATCCACAATTGGCTTCATTTTATTCAATATAGCACATGGAACAAAAGCTATGGATCTTTTATAAGTTCTTTGCTACTGCCCTGGAAAAAGAACAATCTCTCTATGAATTGATTTCTTAATATGAAAACATGGATAACAATATCAGTTTCCTCATATTATTTCCAAGATCAAATAAGTTAATACACAAAAAATATTTAGAAGAGTTGTCCAGCTCACTTTACTCAATAAAATAATTTTATTCATCAAGAGCACATAAAGAGTGCTACATATGCAGTATCTTTTGCTTCAAAACATTCTGACTGTGCCACCTTAAATTGATTTAAAACAAATTATTTCATATTTCAAAGGGATGAGGATAAGAAGCAAGAAACATAGTCATCCTAGATGGAAAAAAAAATCACTTGACTTTGATAGTCTCTGGAAATACTACTGTGAATAAGACACTATTCTTACCCTCAAAAAATACAAAATCGCATAAAAAAGTCAGGAGAGAGGATATTGTAAAGACTACAGATTGTGACAGCTTTTCCTTGCATTATAAAGTCAGTTTTGTGCATTTAAATCTACTCCTCTGAGATCATCAATGGCAAGTCTATGTTGCTGTTTTTTAAATCTTTCTATCTCTCAGTATGACTTGCCCAGTGTCTGGGAAACAGGTTTTAAATATGTCTTTAATAAAATATTTAAAGAAACCCATAAGTAAGCTGAGTTTCTGTTATGGACATGGCTCTGTACTCCACACTTTATATCCATTATCTCATTTAAGTAACAATATTCTTAGGCATTAGCATACCCTTAAAATTATTTCATCCCTCGTGTAATCCCTTTTCAGCTTCTGGAATCCTAATCTTAACTCACTGGTTTATTTTATTCTCATTAACTTCATACATGAAAACCGAGTTATTATTCATTTTATGAATGTGCCAAGTAAAGCAGTGCTATAAAATGTTTTATGTTAAAGTTGAATGACAAGCTATATTTCATTATCTTATAAGTACTATTTATTAATTTAAATTTGCCTTCCAAAAATCAAATATATATTTAAATGACTATAATACACACACACAGTCAGGCATATATACACAGTCAAATGTATTTAGTGACTTTTTATCTAATTTATCGCTGATTCGGTTAACAGTAATTTATTGAACAGCTACCACGGTATTAGGTTCTGGGAATTCAGTGGGGGAATAAATGCAGTCTCTGCCCTCAAAGATCTTACTACTCAAGAGGTTTTATTATTGGTTTGTTGAGAGCACAACAAAGTAACATTTGATCAAAATTCTTTTTGGAAATCACTGAGGTAAACAAAATAAATCAGCAGTAAATTTCATTTTGCCACAGTTTTGTCTATAATGTTCCCTTTTTATCCTTCCCCCTTAACATTCCTTAGTTACCTTATCATTTTGCAACCTGATCTCTTTGCTGTAGCCCATGAACTGCTTAATTCATATTAAACAGTTGGCCTTTCTTATTTTCTACCTGGCTTAATTCTTGGTTATAACTAAATGTTCCCAACACAATCTCAAGCTATTTTCTTCATTGAAATAAGATCAGCACCTACTTATTGAATGCTTAGCATGTACTTGACACTGTGTTATAACACAGGTGTTATAAACAGCTGCAAGATGATTCTCATCCCTAGTCGTGGCTCTACCCTTATAACTAAAGGAACCTTGTTTGTTTCATCCTGCTCTTTCTTTTCTCTATGAAATTTGCAAGTTGATATGCATACATATGATGCATGTTGGAAAATCAGATTATGTCTTCATCCTTATATTCTTAGCCCTTAAACTTCTTACTGTCTCCTCTCCACCAAAATCCCTTTACTTAGATCTCATCCTCTCTGAGCAGTGCTCCACATCAAAACCAATCCCTCACTCTCTTTCCCCATCCAGCTCAGCTCAGTCTTGCTACCAATTCTGCTCACTGCCTTTAGGTTATTGACCCCCATGTTTTCAATAAACCAGCAACTCTCACCTTGCACATGTACTAAACTCTAAACTTCCCTGGGTATCAGCTAAATTCCCATGTAGATCACCAAATTCTGAAATTATTTCTGTGCATGAAGCAACAGTAAAAACACAGAGATAAACAAAGAAATAAAAACTCACAAAAACAAGCCCAGTCATAACTGGTTTATGCTTATGTCCATCATGAGGGAAACAGCAGTAACTTACTGGAAAGGGAGTTTCCAGTATAGGGAAAACAACAATCAGGACACAAACTCAAACTGAGTCAATCACGGTAACTCCTCACAATTTTAGATTCCATCCCACGGCTTCCAATGAGTTCCTCCCCGAAACCGCACCTCCCCCCAACCCCGGCCATCCTCCTGCTGCTTCTGTTTAGAAGCAGGTGGCCTCACTTATCCTAACAGAAATCATCAATACTGAGTCTCCTTGATGGCCACCCTTTCCTTCTTCACTAATCAGCAACCTCAATGGGTATTCCTTCTCTATTGGCAACTTTCTTTAAATAATTGACCCCCTGACTTTTGCTCTATTTTTACTGTTATCTTAAACCAAATATCATTGAGTTATATCCCTTGACTGATAAATGTATGGACAAGATACAAACAGGAAATATTAAGTGCTTGGTACTGAGCAGCTTGCTCAAAAGGTTTTTCCTGGTAGAAATTTGAATTAAAGCTTCCATACTCCATGCATTTATGCCTCACCTCCTCGAGGATTATTGCTCTGTCAGATTGTAGGATGTGATCGGTTCTGTTTAATTAAAAGTTTCTATTCTCTGAAGCCCCACCTGCCACCCTCCCTACCCTCACAGAGCCAGTTTCCAGTAGTTTTACAGACAATGTTGCCCTCTGGTGGCTTAAAAGTTCAAGTTGGCAAGTTGTCCATGTAAGGTATATATATCTCCACGTATATTTGAAAATTACTAGCAAATTTTAAAGTGTTTAACAGAATTTAAATATTTAAAATATCATTTTAGTTTATTAATGAGTAAAAGTTTAAAACTATGGCAATTATTTTAGGCAGAATCACATAAGCTAATAGCATATCATAAATCAACTGAATTATAAAACCGGAAAAGTACAAGAAAATTCTTCATTCTATAAGAAAACTTGAGTATGGTGTCTTAAATGATTCACTCACAGATAAAAAATGACATAAATGCTACATAATCAACCTAGCAGAAGATTAAAGTATCACAAAAATTGAAGAGGATCCCACTGATTTTCTTTTTCATGTTTTTCATCTTCAATCTAACCTTGAATATTTCTGTTCTGTCTATCTGTTGTGAAGGAGGAGTAGAGAAAAACAGTGAAGAGAATTTAAAGCTCATTATTAAGTTTTACATTTCAGAATGCAAATTTTAAAGAAAAAATTACTTTTGTTTTATCGATCTAATAGTATTTTGATAAAACAAAAGCTTAACACAGAGATACAAAACCTCACACAGTAATAAGAATTCAATTTAGTTTACAATCATGTAATCAGAGTAATGATCCTCATAAAAATTATACAATTGCCATTGTGGATTTTTACCTAACAGGTCATGCTTAATGACCGCTGTCAAAATGTTAAATTTACGACGTGGCTGTTAACCTGGATGTCTGGTTGTCCCTTTTAATTTGTTACCCTACCATGCCCCCTTGTGACAGATAAAAAGAGGTCTAATTTTTTTGCCCAATAATTTTGGCCGTTAAAGGAGTGATTTTGTCATATGAGCACATATTCCTTATTGAAACTTTTGCTAAAACAGACTATTTACTATGCTGATTTATTAAAAATGTACTCAATCTAAAAAAAAACCCAGTTACAAGAATTAGCAAGATTTATATATTTCCAGAGACACATTCTAACAAGACAAACGTTTCCTTAGCTTCAGTATCAAAGTATATTGTAAACACTGTAAATATCTTTTAAAAAATAGATCTTGAACACAAATAAGGAATAATTATTTGTTGAACATTGGCTGAAGCAGTTCTTAAGCCCCTTCTGATATTCGAACTTGCCCAAGAAGTTTCAGAAACTTATTATTCTCACAACAGCTATTTAAAGAATGTTTGTTGATACTGTTGAAGATGAGTAGAAATAGACATCAAAGCAATAAAAAAGTTTATCAAACTACCGTGATTTACTGGACTGGATTCCACTTCCCCAGGACTGAAAGAGAGTGTCCCTATTGTTAAGGGTTTGGAATTACTACTTCCCTGGGTAACCACCGCACGGTGTTCGGTTCACAGAGCCCCGAGGCAGTTAATAGGAGTTTATAAAACAAGAGAGCTAGGGCACAAAGCAAGTTGACCAACAGAGTTCATATTTACGTCTTCTTTAAAAATGCATAAAATTTCAGTATTTTAAACCTGACAAACTTGTAGCACACACACACAAAATATTACAGTTATCTCAAAAATATAAAATATAAAATTAAGATATCGCTAATATAACACTAAAAAAGGAAATTGAACATTCGTGAATATAAAAAATGAATCATTAGTAACTTGTCAATGGCTAGTAAGTCCTGTGTCAACAAATATTACTTCTTCCTTAGAAACCCACAGTATTTGGGTTATTTCTATTTCTGTTTTTTTAAATTAAATATATATATTTCTTAGAATTTTACTATTGAATGATTAAAAATAATGAATAGAAAAGTTAATAAAGATAAAAATTAATCTTCTGAATGCTTCTCTGTATGCTTACATCAGCTAGAACTATATGATAAATGCAGATTCCTTGCTCTTCTCAGGAGCATTTTATGGAAACATTTCACTGACATTAATATCTTCATAAAAGAAACTGATGAGTAACAAAAACTGAAAACAGTTAAAAAAAAGTCATGTTTCTTATATTAAGCCTATGAGTCCGTGAGTAACTCTTTATAAAGTTATAAGTAAATGCAAAGTTATACACAATATGCAAATAATTTCAAATAGTTTTAATTATAAAGTCATAATAACCTGCTATTTCTTGCCTTGACACCTGTAAACTACTCCACCTATTAAGTAATTACACTAAAATGATTAGAAGTGTCCAAAGAAAGACAAACGATTTGAAGAATGGTCTGGCAAGTGGGATATAGGAAAAGATGCCTTTGAACATTTCCCAAGTTCTACATAATCATGAAAGATAGACATTGTGCTCCTTTTCCAAAGTGTCAAGTTGTGGGGCCTTCACAGCTAACATTCATTGAACTGATGAATTTATATAAATAGTTTATTGAATAATCAACCAATTTAAAAACACACAAAGGAATAAGCACATGAAGCAGATGCCATGTAGAATTAACATTTGCCAAATTGAACTGGCTTAGAAACAAATCACAGCATAATTCTCAATGTTCAATAGATAGAATAATCAATAGCAAATTATATAAGAAACAGGGAAAAAGTGAAAATAGTATTTCAGAGTATAACAAATCATTTAATGTAATAACGTAATTTTCTCTAAGTTTTCTTGGTTTTTCTTTTGGAATTATGACCTCAGACATACTCACGCCTGTGCATTTCATTCCTATTCTTATTAAACATAATTTAGTGAAAAAAATTTTAAAGTAATTTATCTTCAATATCAGACACACAGTTATTATTCAAAGTGCCGTGATTACCCACCTAATGTTTTCCTTAATTTCTTTGATTTCATTTTCTGTGCTCTCTTCAGCATTTGCTGAGCAGTAGAAATATCCTTAAAGCCCCTATTAAAAGATTAAATTTAATAAAGGCAAAACAAACATCCAGACCATATTTATATATACACATACATATAAACATACATATCTGAATTATACTAAAACAAATTTGGATTGGCTTTTAAGAATCTGTAATTTAACAGATGTATAGTTTCTTAAAAAACTAATACAAATATTCATGAAATCTTGAAAAATATCTGCCTTGGATATTTAAAAGTCTCTCAATTTCTTAATATTTTAGTGTGAAATAGATCACATACCATTCTTCTGAAATTTTTTCTTCTTTTTCAGATTTTAGCAAACTCTTTCTGTCGGTCTTTGATTCAGATGTCCAGGACAAAGTTCTATTTTCTGATCTGGCAATAGAAAAAAACACACTTAACTGAATCAACACAAGTATATCAGCACTTTAAAAAACTACAAGCTGTTTACATTGTTTCAAACTTGGAAATAAAATCCACTTAATTTACAGAAAAACTTTATCTTGAAAAGTAATAAAAGTCTGCCATTAATTTAAAATGTTTACATTTCAATTACTTGAACCATATTTCAATCCTTTTGTCAAAATAAATGCAGCACTGGAATTTTTATTCTAACCCTTATCTCTATCTATACAGCAGTATTTAAAAGTCCACTTGTTTACAACAAATTACATTATTTCACTAACACTTAAGTTTTGTAGTTGCTTTAACGAACCTACCTCACACATTTTTCTTACACTGAAAACGCCATAAAATCACTATATTTTTAACACTAAATGTTCTTCCATATTTCTAAATAAGTAAGTTCACACCTACTTTCATCGTTTTACTACTTTTGTGAGGAATGTAATATTCTTGTCATTCACAGGATGATCCTCTAAAAGAGTAATTTAGCTTACCTGCTAGTAAATTGAGTGTATTCCGAAGAAAACAAATTTTCTTTCTCATTACACAGCCATGCTTGCGCTGGATGACTTGGTAAATTAAGTGAAGTTTCATCACATTTTAAGGTTCCAGACAACTTATTAAAAAAAAGTACATAAGTATAAAATAAATTGAAAAATTATAGCATTTATATTGTATTACTTTATATACATATTATTGAGTAGCCTCCTAGAGGAAAGAAAGAAAATTTGAAAATTATAATAAAATGAAATTTATGAAATATACATATAAATGTCCTTTGTTGTAGGGGTGACAAATATGCTTTTTGGTATAGTTGCATATCCAAAATGATTAATTATAAAGATCTTTAAAAAACTCAGAAAACAAAAACTTCAAAGATTACCAAATAAATAACAGATATTCCAGTCCATTGACCTCTGACTGAAAATCTTCAGCTGTTGCCCTCTTAATGCATATTTTTGTATTTTTAGAGTGCTGTTGACTAGTGATTTTAGTCTACTGCCAAACATGCAGCTGAAGCATATCATTTTTTTTTTTTGCTACTGTGAAATAAAGTGTTGAAAGAAATCCAAAATAAAGAAAAAAATTAGGAGCAAATGAAAGAAAAGCTACATGAAAAATTACATCTGGGGATGAGGAGGAAGTCAGAGGATTCTAAAAGTAATTGTGTTTTTCAAGTCAATAAATTGTATTATTAATCACTGTAGCATAGCATAACCTTAAGAAATGAGCAAAGATCGAGCACTAAGAGGTTTCCATGACATGTTACCTTTGGCCAGTGCAGCTGGTTTGGGAGAAGCAGTGTTTGTGAAGGGAAACGGGCGGAATCTAAAGCTAGCCATTCTTTCTCTAAGGCAGCCTGCACAAATAATAACATTAATGTACATAATTTAGTTTGCATAACTTTTACAAAGAGTCTTTCAAATTGTCTTATATACAACAAATGTTAAGAAAGTATATCAGAACTTTTATTTACAGGAAAATTTGCTACTTGCTATTATGAGATGTTATGCATCTGCTTAATGCAAACATTCTGAAAAATGGGATAAGAGTTTTCATCCCCAAGTGGGATTAAGTGAGAAGTCAAGTGCTCTGAAAACTTGTGGATCGCTCAGTGTATTTAACTGTCTGATAACTATGACTCTGAGCCAACTCATGATGTAACTGAGGGAAATAATCTTTCAGCTCTTTATAATGCAAATTATAATATTTTCCATCAAACCTCATTATTGAAAATTCGTAGTATTTTAACACATTAGTATCGATTTTTCTATAAACACTGCCTGTAGGATAGCTTTTACTTAACTTTTTTTCAAAATTTCACAAGTTTTCTGAAGAGGTAGAAAAAAGAATTTCCTGGCAATAGAAGGAAGATGGTTCCTGATATTATATTCCCTAATTCAAGTGTTGAATGATAAAAATATAAATTTAAATTTTGAAAAGATCCTGTTTTAAATCCCTTCACTCTTCATCTCAAAATATCTTTATTCCGTTTATGTAAGTTCCAAATTCATTTTATCTTTCTTCAATGGAACTATACAAATTATGCTGATTAAAATTTAGGATATAATTATCTACATTTTATTTGCCTGGTCTAATACGGTTTAGAATGAACTTCTGTGGTTCTATAATGTTTTTTGAATCTTTACAAAAAAAGATGATCAGAATACCAATGAAATTGTTTTATAATAGGTTCTAAAATGATCAAACATATTTATAATTTAAAAACTAGAATGACTACATTCTGAGAAGACCTAAAAGCAATTTTCCATTTATACAATGTTAGTGTTTCTTGACTATCTCTTGAAAGACCATGGGGAAGGCAAGCCTAGAAGGCCAGCCTGACTACAGACTTGCAGCACAATGGCAGACTTTTACTTATAGCATTTAGTCTTAGGAAATCTCATCAAATTCATGTTATTTGAATATCTATGTAAACAGAACACTTCTACTCAGTTGTTAGATAGTTACTTTGTCCAATACTTTCTAGGCAGAGATTACCAATATATATATTACAGTTACATACCAGCTATATCTGGTTTGAGAATATATATACCTGGTTTAAGCAGTGCTATTTGATACAAAATTGCAGGATTCAAGATGGATATTTTTAAATTCTTTCTTTTATATGACAAATAAAGGAAAATTCAGGTCTATCCCAGGAAAGATCAAGGCCCATGGCATATCAAATTAGTATCCCTACTCTGGTGAAAATTGCTAAAGTGAAGAGAAGATGTGAAGATGTGGAGACGATATTACAAAAGGCAAGGTACCAGACGATTCTGGGAAGATGGGGAAGTAGGAAGCACCAGGACCCTGTCTCCCAACCTAGACAACTTCACTGGCAGAATCTGTGTGATATAACTATTTTGGAACTCTGGAGTCTATTGCAGGCTTGCAACTTCCAGGGGAAGGCTGACTTGGATGGTAAATTGCAGTAATCTTGGTCAATTTCAGCTCTTGGCCCAGTAGCAGCTATCTATCCTCCATTCTCCAGCCCTGACGCAGGCAGCTGTTCATGTGTTCCAGGAGTAGCTTGCACATAACTTGCAGGAGCCAGATTAAACAATGCGGATCCTGTCCTCCAAATTTTGGGAACCTGTGCTCTGATCACTGATTGTTTCTTCTGAGCACAGAGGTGCAAAGAGGTAGGTGGCCTTTGTTCTTGCTCCTCCCCTATTGTTTCAAGCTGGTGCCCATCAGCTAAGTGATCACCAGGGGATTTAAAGAGCTTGTATTCTACTCTCCTCCTCTTTTATTTTTCCTTTTTTCCCTTTTTGGGAGGCAGAAATTAAAGACTAGGGTAGTCATAAAAAACAAAAACTGCTAAAATATTCAAAAGCATCTGCATATACAGGGAAATTAGAAAGTCAACATACATGCCCAGGGAAAGGCACAGGATTAGAAAAGATCTGAGAAGACCTTAAGTTTACAACTCAGGCTGATCTCGGCACAGAGACAGCCTACAGCAATCTAAACAAAAATAAAAACAAAAACTCCACAGTAAACTGTGGGGAAAAGAGAGAATCTGATTTTCAGAGTTAACACATTATTAGATTCAATGTCGAGTTTTAAATAAAAAATAACATGGCGTACAGAGATATAGAAAAGTTTATGGCCCATTCAAAGGAAAAGAAAATCCCTGAAAAAGGCCTCAAGGCAGATTTACTAGACAAAGACTTTAGAATAACTGCCTTAAAGATGCTCAAAGAACTAAAAGAAGAGAGAAAATGATGTATAAACAAAAATGGAAATATCAATAAAGAGATAGAGAACCTAAAAAGAAATCAAAAAGAAATTTTGGAGCTGAAAGTACAATAACTGAAATAAAAAATTCACCAGAATTTACTAGTAGGATTCACTGGAGTGATCTGCTTCTGAATAGGCAGATAAAAGAATCAGTCCACTTAAAGATAAGAGAATGGAAAATATCAAGTCTGAGGAACAGAAAGAAAAAAGATTGAAGAAAAGTAAACAGAACCTAAGGGGCCTGTGAGACACCATCAAGTGGACCAACATATGCATCATGGGAGTCACAGAAGGAGAAGAGTGGAAGAAAGAGGGCAGAGTAATAGCGACCAAATATTTCCCAAATTCAATAACATACCTAAATATAAACATCCAAGAAGCTCAATGAATTTGAAGCAAGATGAACTCAAAGAGACCCAAACTGAGACACATTATCATCAAACTTTCAAAAGCCAAAGAGAAAATCTTGAAAGAAGTAAATGAGAAGCAATTCATCACATACCAGGGATCCTCAATAAGATTATCAGATTTCTTATCAGAAACTTTGAAGTCCATAAGGCAGCAGACTGATATAGCCAAAGTGCTGAAAGAAAATAACTGTCAACCAAGAATCCTATATCTGGCAAAACCATTCTTCAAAATTGAGAGAGAAGTTAAGACATTCCCAGATAAACAAAAGCTGAGAGTTCATTACCATTAGACTTGTCCTGAAAGAAGTGCTAAAGCGACTCCTGCAAGTTGCAATGAAAGGACACTAGACAGTAGTTCAAAGCCATATGAAGAAATAAAGATCTCAGTAAAGGTAAATACATGGGAAATTATAAAAGCTAATATGATTGTAGCAACAGTCTATAACTCCACTTTTTGTTTTCTACATGATTTAAGAGACTAATATGCTTAAAAACTATTAGATTAAAAGCTAGTATTATTGTAACTTTGGTTTGCAACTCCATATTTTGTTTTCTACATAATTTAAGAGACTAAGGCACTCAAAGGAATTATTAGCTTATGTTTTGGGGCACAAAATATATAAAGATGTAATTTTGTGATATGAACAACTGAAAGAGGTGGAGATGGAGCTGTAAAGAAGCAGAGCTTTGGATGTTACTGAAGTTAAGCTGGTATAAATTAAAATTAGAGTGTTATAACTTTAAGATGTTAAGAGGGAATGGGGAGTTATTGTTTAATAGGTATGTATTTTCAGTTTTACAAGATGAAAAGAGTTCTGAATATGGATTCTGGTAATGGCAGCACCACTTTATGAATGTATGTAATACCACTAACTGTACGCTTAAAAGAGGTTACGATGGTAAATTTTATGTTGTGTGTATCTTGCTACAATAAAAAAATTGGAAGAAAAATAAAAAAAGATAACGTGCCACCTGAAGAGTCACTGGAAAAGGATCAGTACTGCCAGGCAAGGATTCTAACTTATACACTGGCTTTTATATACACAAACAACTGTTTTTTCCCTAAACACCTGCCACATCACCTTCTTTTTATATTCTCTGGGACTCCAGCTGTTTTCTTTCTGCAGCAGAACAAGGTCCCACAAAGCACAGTGATTTCTTTGCCATATCAATATAGATGTTGATGAAGGTCTCTTCTTTAGAAAACTACATAAAATCTGGGGAAAAATTTAAGTCTCTAAATTGACATCTAAAAGTGCAGAAAATTTTGAAAACAGTTTTTCTTGGTTTTTAATGTAAGGTCACAAATTTTTATAAGATTCTAGAACACTCTTTACCACTGTGTCTCAGAAATTTCTAGAAGTATAAAGAGGTTTAATATAAAATGCTAAAGATACTTTTAGTAATTATATAATCACAACTAAAAAATGTTACCAAGACTACTGATTTATATGAGCTCAAGCTTAATATCAGATAGTCTATTTTGGCAGTAGCTAGTATGTTGAGGGAAAAAAGTCTCAAAATGTCAGGAGGAATTGGCCAGGATTATAAATATACTACTGTTTTAAAAATGTATATTAATATATCGCGCTTACCATTGGACATTTATACAAATTTCAGTTATTGCTTAAGAAAACTTTCTGTTCAGATATTAACTTACAAGTGAGGATTTGGAAAGCTTTTTGGTTATTAGAAGACTAGTATCAAATTGAACTTGAACTTAGATAAATTTATAACTGTGTGTTCACAATTAAACATATGAACATATACACATATATTTGGCTTTTGATCAGAGAAGAGATCATTATTCTATAATGCAACTTTGATAGACCAGAAAATAAGGCTTTCAGAAAGAAGAGTTGCAAATAACATTCATGTTTATTTGCATATGTATATGCAAAATTTGTATGCCATCTAGTGAAATCCTTTCATTTGACACATGAAACTAGGATCAGACTTGCTCTAAGCCACAAGTCAGAGTTGCACAAGTCCTAGAAATTCTAAAAGCTGTGACTTGATCTTTTTCCTACTCCCTTCACTACCCCTACCCTGCCCAACACTTTCCTCCTCTCTGCCCAAGTTGCCTCTTGCTATCCCACAAAGAATTCTTTCTAATACTTCTTGATAACTTTTGTAGCATCTCAGAATCCTTACAGTTTGAAACTTGGTCCATTACGAATTTCAAATTTCACTTTCTAAA